CTTCTTGCGGCTACCTAAACGTCCCCTTGTTCGTTCTGCTTCGATAGCGCACCATTATATGCCGCCTTCCTTTATTCCGACAGGCTGCAATTATCGTCTTAATTATAATTATCACGCTAACTTCAAAGACCTCCGAGGCTATTTTCGCCCCTCCTCGCTGTGTGTAACTGGCCACCGTCGCGCGGTGTGTATGTTGGCTACTGTGCTTATTCGCCCGAACCCGTCCCTTGTTGGATCTATCACACTCGAAGATCGGTATAAATCAAGATGGCGCCTTAATTTGGCCTCCTTGCCGCCCAAACAGTCGTTGCTTGCCGATCCGCGAAAAGCGTGTTAAGCCGCCGGCACATTTTCGCGGGAAGCTGGCGCGCATCTAAGGCTTGCGTTAAGCCGCGGGATGCTATTGCGCCTCAAGCTCCCCCGCTGATACGACATTCGTGCCGACCGCGAATGGAAGGCGGGTCCCGCGCCCCGCGAAATGCGTAAATAGCGGGCCCAGACGTACAAACATCGCGGACGTTTTCGGGATCACGTACACTCGCTCCGCGTACATCAGCCTTTCGAGGCGGGCGTTTTTCCGATTATGGATTGACGACGTCGTTTTGTACATTCCTCCGCCCGCTCCGTACGTCACCTTGCCCCGTATTTTCCTACCTTATCCTGGCGGCCTTCTCCCACTATCTTTCTCTCTTTCTTTCGCACGCACACTCCCCGGCAGTCTGTCTACTCTCTCTCTCTCCTCGCCTCTCCGCTCGCTCTGCCCGCTCCACGGGGTTATCGTGCATTATATATATTGTGATGTCTCAGTGGCGGCGTTGTGGTGCTACGCATTCTAGCTACTGTGGTATAAACTGCCCACGGCCACGCCCAGCTCCTGGTGCTGGCACGGATCGTGCCGTCGCCCATCCCGCCTACAGCGCCTTGTGGCCACCAAATCGTATAGCGGCGTGTCAAAGGAGAGACCATATCAATTCCATATCTCGTTCATATGCGCTGGACCGATCTTACTAGTTTCGGCAACGACTCGATCCCAGGCCAAATGTCTCCACCGCTCGTGTCGTACAAAACATTCCACTCTCAATGCAGTCAGGCCTGCCGGCGAGACACTTAGATGGTCCTGGTGTGCCCACGTCACGACTCAGGCCTAGACTCGTACGCCGGCCTTACTCGGCCAAGTATCTTCTTGCCTACACTAAGGATAGTTAGTGGAGCGTGGTCAACCCGACTCCTTCGACCGGCCCGGCTGCTAGTCTGAGCGGAAACATTCTCTGGAAATCGGCCTGTTTCGTATCGACTGAGCATCCGTCCGCGCCATCTATGCGGACGCCGATATGCTACGAGAAGTAAGTTTCAGGCCCGCGGTTAATATTAATATAAGACTTAGAACATCGCTTTATAGACGAAAACGATAACACCGCATCCAAAAGAATAGCAATTACGATCCATTGGATTTATTCTCGCCCTACGTGCAAGCTTGAGTCGAAAGGCGTCTGCTGCCAATCGGCCAGACCCCACTGTCCTCAATGATAGCCCGATTCTCGGCTCTTCTGCTAGTACCCAGAGGGATTCGGATGTAGTTAGTTTACATATCACGGGCCAGCCGAAATTGCTAGCGGTCCTCGAAAAAGCGTCTACACGAGGTGGCCGCTGTTCGCCGTGTCGCGCGTATATATCCGGCTGCAGATCAGTCAAGAAATCATCCCCTAAGCTCTAACCCTAACCTTGCCTAACAATCCGGAAGCGCAATTAGTAGGTGCTGCCGCGGGCAAATTCTAAAATGGCAATATTCGCAGATCCTCGCCGCCGAGCATTAACTCTCCGGTAGACTGGTTCATAATCTGTTAAGACTGTCGGTCCCGGGCGAATAAGCTAGCCTTCTTTATACACCCGACGCGTAGCTTAAGCGTCAATTTTGTCCCGTACCGCAAATGCGTTAAACGTCCTACACAGGTCCTCTCGCATTGGCTGCTCTTGCATTTGCTTTGATCGCAGACTGAACCTTCACAAAACATAAGGAGAACAAACGCCCCATTCTGTTAAATTAGTTTGTTTTAGGTTATCATCAGTAGATAAGGAAGTTTTCTCGCATGTTGATTTTCTATGAAAAACTAACATTTTACTCTATTAATATTAAAAGTATCACCTACTATCATGCTATAATTTGTACAATTCTTTTGTGTCCCTGTAAACTGTTATGTATATTTTCATTCTTAATTCTCAAGTCTTGATGAGCGGTTTGAGGCTCTCGTAACACTTATCTACAATACGTACCTATATCGTACTCTGTACTATTCGAGGCCAGCTATAGATAATATTATTATCTTACTCCTGGGTATCTATTAGTATTTTTAGAGCTTAGCCTATTCGTCTGCTGTCGCAGTGCCAGTAAAGATGGATACGAATCCTACCTACGATCACCTACCTAACACGAATCCCAGCATCTACCTACTAGAATCCTACCTGTAGGTCAATTCTCTTTAGGATACCTGGTTCATCTTAAGAGAGAAAGCTACATGAAAGCATTATTGGTTGGTAAATGGATTTATTTATCTTTGGGCAAGCAATATGTAATAGTAAACGACCTTTTCAGATGCCAAGATGAATAATACACCTATTTCTAATTGTCGCCGTTATTGTTTGCTTTGTTTTTTTACCTTGTTGCTAATTGACCATTGAAGTTATGAGTGCAGTATCTACTTCACACCTATTAGGAGACTCGAAAGGATCGAAATTTGTCGGTGTATGCGCACCAGATTTTGCTGTAAGATGATAATCCATGGAATATGGGAAAAGAATAGTTTGATAAACGTCCTGAAGAATAATACTAAGGTTTTTGAAACACTCATGTACTTGCCATTTGTGGGTCACGATTACATTCAGTTTTGGTCTATAATCGACCTATATAAGTTTTGCTATTGAAAAGATGCATAAGTTGTCTGGAGGACCAGTTGGTTGATAGGCTTCATAAGTGTTCATCCAAGGATATAGGTGAATTTGCTTCTTACTTGATGTGATGTTAATGAAGACGGTCTAAGAAATAATGACTCAGCTTATAGATCAAATCACTATTTTCAATAGGGTTAAGTTGTTGTAAAATCGGGTTAATTATGTATCTACCTTTTGACTCGCTGCGACAGAGCGAAGTGGGCTACTCTATACAACTTGTACGAGTACGTATGTGGTATACCGTTACGTAAAATGTAAGTAGTGTTACGAGAAAGCGCCAAGACCTCTTCATAACTTTCAGTTATTAAATGAAATAACATAGTTACACAATATGAATTTGTGAATTATTATAGTAAATTATACCCTTTCATAGATTACATGATGTATAGAAGATGTTCGGTCGTTTTTGTCTTTCCGTGCACTGTTCGTTTTTAATAGCAAAATGACAATCAGAAAACTCTACTTATCTACTGATAATGCAACTAAAACACATATTATTAGTTGCTACATTTACCAAATAGGCCGTGTTGTTCTACCTATATTTGAAGGCTTTGTGCATCAAGCAATATCGAAAGGCAGGCCATTTCAGAGCGAACCCGTTGTTTCTAGTCGACGTTTTACGCGCATTTGCGTGCGGTACGGAAAAAGATTATGACCGCAGCCCGCGCATACAGATTGCTGAACTGGCCTTGACTTGCGGCGGGGATGTAGCTCCTGAGTGAACTATGCAGCCCGGCCGCTACAGCTGTAGCCGCAGGGCAGTAGAACGTAGTATGGCAATTTCGAATTGTGTTTTCTAGACAACTCTTTTTAGCGTGCATCAATAACTTGTTCGGTATTCAACTTTCAAAGCCACATTCTCTGGCCGCCCGACAAATGTCTGTAAGGTACTATAAACACGAAAATTAAACAGCCCAAATATCGTCCTAATATATTGTACTGCTGATAGTTACTCTGTCGACGCAGATTGTTTATCAACTCCTAACCGCCATTTCTCGCTTGCGCTACTCAGGTTCCGGCCGCTAGGCAGGCCGGCACAATTGTATTTCAAGAGTTCGGAGGCCCTCTTGGGTGGGCAGGTTTGCACACTGGTTGCAGACGACACCAGACGCGATACCAGATGCAGTGCATAAATCCCACATTCTCCTCGCGTTTATCATAGTCACGTTCATTATGTCTGTTTTAAAACAACGCAGTGCCGCCCCTGTAGTTACCGTTACGCTGTCGTGTCGTTTGAGCGCCCCCTTGGCGCGTTAGATTGAGCGCCGTTAGGGCTTAGCGTTTGACGGCGTTCGAGGGTTAGGTTCTCAGCTCATTCTTACCAACTCCTTCAAATCATTGCTGCAATTGTATTCCAATAGGCGTTACTTCGAAATCTGCGCCGCCACGCGCCCCGATCTTGTGTCTCGCGTTAAATATCGATAATGCGACCCATGGAGATCACTCCCGTGACCCGTAGCCCGAGACATTAAGATCACGGCCTTAAAACCGTACCCGTAGGCCACGTGTCCTTTACACCACAACCACCTCCGCTGCCAGAAAGTGTGTAAGATTGTTGCTGCTTCGAAAGAAGAGAAAACCCAAGGCGGCTCCACAGTCTCGGGCTGCATAGCATCCGGCCTAGGATGACTTATTGCGGTATGGCGTCAATTGCAAGTTACTGTTTCTACCCGAAACGCCGACCCGGTCTCTGATGCTTTGCCACGATTTATATCAGGGAGAGCGGGCGAGATAGCGTAAAGTTTAATATTTCTATTGACAAGTCTATGTTTCAGTCACCTAAATACTATACTATAATATTATATTGTTTGATAGCATCTTGTGCAGTATTGTTGCTGTTAACTCTAGAACTACTAGAATGATTACTAGGAAAAATTAGACAACGGCGGTAATGTCCAGTGTGAGAAAAACTATTAAATTAATAAATATTATTTAATTAAATAATAATATAAATAGGTAATTAATTAGGTATGAATAATTTATTAGGCCTAATTAATTAATTATTAATTAATTATATTTGTTATTTTAATAAATTTTAAAGCTATATGTGTTCAATACATTGTATAGTAGTTATTGTATATTGTTGAGTAATATTTTTTTTGTGGCCACAACAACAATTATATAATGACGAATAAAAAAGTGGAAATATGTACTCTGTGTTTTTGAACATTTCAGTGACAACACATGTACGTCTGGCGCAGTCTGCCCAAAGTGCTATTATATCCTGGGCAAAATGTGCAAAGGCCTGCAAACAGTGCCAACATCAGCATCAGGTATGAAAACACATATCTGCAATTCGGCAAATGGATTTTTAAGAATTATAGAAATATTGCCAATTGAACTTAATGATGTATACTGATTATTAAAAATAAGAAAGTTAGTGCTCTTTGCTGTTGTTAAAAGTGATTAATGTTAAAAAAGAGGCATATCCATATTTAATAATCTTATCTTCAATTTTATCTTCAAATATTTTAAATTGTTATGTATAATGCGAAGGTGCCAGCTCTCCGGCTCAAAGGACGCCGCACAAGGTCAACAAGCGATGTCTTGTTTTTACTCCCCGGCAAGGCAAACGCACCAATCCAGGAAAAAGTGGAACAACAAATTTAAAAAAAGTATAATATCAATTTGAATTGCACATTGAATAGGAATTTGTTACAATAATGATGTGGTGTTACTGCAAATTATCATGTAAAACTACTATTAAACTTTTTTTTAGTCCCGTAACTATAAGGCAAGAGCCTGTACGTTGCTGCACAAGTCAAACTATGAAAAAATGCTTGCTTTGCTGTGGGGCTCAAGCCAGGCGTTCCGCGCAGCATTGACAAAGTTTCTCAGGAAGAAAGTTTATTCGGAGGCAAAGGAATTCGGGGAAAAACCGTCAGTACTACGCCAAAATTTAAGCTTAGCCAACATCAATGGTTTCAACTGGAACACTGCTATTGCGGAAATTGAAGCTGGCATGCCACTCATCTTCAACACCTACTGTGGCATGATGGAGAAGAGGAGACGCTCAAGTGGTCGCATCGTGTCTGTTGCACTAAGCAAACCAAGGCTGGGTGCATCCATTGGCATCATGTTGGCTAACAGACAGCCAAGGGCCTACAAACTTCTGCCAGCATGGATTGGGGTCGAGCTGTTGAGGAGTGGCTGCAAGCAGAAGGTGGGCTGATCTCTCAGTGTTAACATGATAAATGTTAAACTCTCTTGCAAAATTCTACAGAAAATTTAAATCCTCTCAGCTTATGCAGAAACTTGAAAATATTTTTTAAACAGGTTTTCTCGTGCTTGAGTCACGTTGGCATCTGCCAAACGGCGTCATCTGCTCGGCGATGTGTCGATAAGATAGCGAGTGAGTTCGACAAAGAATTACGCCAATGGAAGAATGACATAGAGGTGGGTTAATGACTTGATGCTTAACATTTATTCTGTAGTGACAGAGTAACTGATAGGTGTACATGCCAATTGTATTTGTTAAAAGCAAATTTGGTTTCTTTTTGTTATTGACTTTTAGTGTGGTGCCAATAGCACGTTGCCAATAATGGGGCAGACAGCAACAGATGATTTGGGTGTGGTACGCCCACTCGATTTTTCATCTGATGCTGCTGGTGATGATGATGATGATGATGATGATGATGATGATGATAATGATGATGACGATTGCGGTGGAGGTGAGAAGACCTGCCTACAGCAACAATCTGTGAAAAATCTATTCCAATCGCTGACGGCGACGTTATTGTGTCCTCGTCAGTTGTACGCAGGGTCTCCAACCATTCCGCATTCTGCGGAATCATTACGATTTTTTAGGCTTAATTTCCGCACTCCGCAGCGGCATGGTTATATTCCTCATTTCAGTTACACTGTATAAAATTTGCATTGATTGTTCGCATTGTTCGCTTGGACACATTGTTTTTTTTTCAGCCGGTGCCTGGCACTGGCCACGCACGCGCTGGTGCAGTAGAGATGCAGCAAGTTATTAATAGCCGTCACTGCGCGAGTCGTTTTATGGAAATGCACGCTCTGCCATTACCTTAGTTTTGCACCCCCCCTACCATCGCTCAGTGTTATAATGTGTTTCTAATTCTATGCATTTTGTATCTGGCATGTCTATGGTAAATGGAACAGCCTAGTCAGACAGGCGCTGTCTGCAAGGTGTCGCGTGGTTTGTCTGCTAATCAGATTAACACGTGGGGAGAATGGCGTCCAATTGCCATTGCCATCCAAAAAACCCGACTTTTACAGAAATTCAGGAACGAATATACACAGATGTGGCCTGTACTTGTGAAGTCAAAACTCAGTGTTAATCATGGCTATTGCATGGTNGCATTGACAAAGTTTCTCAGGAAGAAAGTTTATTCGGAGGCAAAGGAATTCGGGGAAAAACCGTCAGTACTACGCCAAAATTTAAGCTTGGCCAACATCAATGCTTTCAACTGGAACACTGCTATTGCGGAAATTGAAGCTGGCATGCCACTCATCTTCAACACCTACTGTGGCATGATGGAGAAGAGGAGACGCTCAAGTGGTCGCATCGTGTCCGTTGCACTAAGCAAACCAAGGCTAGGTGCATCCATTGGCATCATGTTGGCTAACAGACAGCCAAGGGCCTACAAACTTCTGCCAGCATGGATTGGGGTCGAGCTGTTGAGGAGTGGCTGCAAGAAGAAGGTGGGCTGATATCTCAGTGTTAACATGATAAATGTTAAACTCTTTTGCAAAATTCTATAGAAAATTTAAATCCTCTCAGCTTATGCAGAAACTTGAAAATATTTTTTAAACAGGTTTTCTCGTGCTTGAGTCACGTTGGCATCTGCCAAACGGCGTCATCTGCTCAGCGATGTGTCGATAAGATAGCGAGTGAGTTCGACAAAGAATTACGCCAATGGAAGAATGACATAGAGGTGGGTTAATGACTTGATTGCAATCTGTGAAAAATCTATTCCAATCACTGACGGCGACGTTATTGTGTCCTCGTCAGTTGTACGGTGTTCACTGATGTGATTTTGGCGTGGTCGTGTATCGTAGCTCTGTGTAGAATTGTTAGTTTGTAGTTATCATTGTCATTCCTATCTAGTTTCACTTGCATCCTACAAGGTTATTGACAATTTATTGAACCTATTTGTTGTTTGGTTTTTACAGAAAGATTATCACAACTTGAAAAGCCTGGATCTCTTCAACTGTGAAGTTACCAATATTGATAATTATAGGCAAAAGGTAAGTCTGTATATATGTCATAGTTATACTCACAATCACTGAGGAAACCTGTTGTGAATATTCCTTTTTGGTTTATACAGGCTGTTTTTTGCCCACTTTTTGGCAAAAATGAAAATGGCCATCTAAATGAATTCGATTTTGTTAAATTTTGGTATGTGAATGTGTAAGGCTAGCCCCAAAACAGTTGTTACTCCTATGGGAGAGATGACAATGTCCTATTACGTTTATTTTGTCTAACTGGTCAACAACTCTACAATCATACCTCTATATACGTGTAATATTGTGTTTTAGATTCTTCGTTACACTAAATTTGACTGGAATATTTTATTTGCGCGATAATCGAAAGCCAAAATGGCGATCATTTAGGCGTAGCGCCATCTCTCGTCAAGATT